CGATGCTCGTCTCCGCGGCGGCCCGCGCGGTAAGGCCGCCCCCGGCCATTTTCTGGCTCGTAATCCACGGCGTCTGCTGCCTCATCAGCCTCGTCCTCGGCTTCCGCTTCTCGCGCCTCGTCTTCTTCTTCCTCTTCTCCGCGAACCTCTACACCGCGCCGTTCCGCGGCGGCGCGGAAGTCGCCGCGCCGCTGGACGTGCCGCCTCCGGCGAACCGGACGGTGGCGAGCCGCGTGGTGGTCGGGCGGCACGGGATCCGAATCCGGCCGTGGCCGCATCCGGATCCGGTGGAGGTGATGAAGGCGCACAGCATAATCGAGAGGGTTCAGAGGGAGCAGAGGACGCTGTTCGGAGTGAAGAACCCTAGAACGGTGATTGCGGTGACGCCGACGTACGTTCGCACGTTCCAGACGCTGCATTTGACCGGTGTGATGCACGCGCTCATGGTTGTGCCGTACGATCTGGTTTGGATCGTGGTGGAGGCCGGTGGAGTCACCAACGAAACCGCTTCAATTATCGCAAAGTCTGGCCTCAGAACAATCCACGTTGGATTTTCCCAGCGAATGCCGAATTCGTGGGAAGCTAGGCATAAACTGGAGTCTCGGATGCGGCTTCAAGCTTTGAGGTTAAGTAACTTTCACGTTTCAGTGTTTCGTTTTAATCGGTTACTGTTGTTATTATTATACTGAGTAGAAACTTTTTGGAGAGTGTGAGTGGTACTATTTGTGTTAGTGCGGGAGACATAATAACAGAATACAGTGAAAATGCATGATGGCTTTACTTACGTTTGCTTAATTTTGAACAGAATTGTGAGCAAAGAGAAGCTGGATGGAGTTGTGGTTTTTGCTGATGATAGTAATATGCATAGTATGGAGTTATTTGATGAGGCGCAGAATGTGAAATGGATCGGGGCTGTTTCGGTTGGAATATTGCTTCATTCGGAGGAGCCTTCGGCCATGGTTCAAAGAGAGGAGGAGGGTGTGTCTGTACCTGTGCAGGGTCCTGCTTGTAATGCTACGGATAAATTTGTTGGGTGGCACACCTTCAATTCATTGCTGTATACTGGGAGAAGCGCGGTTTATGTTGATGACAGGGCGCCTGTGCTGCCCAGAAAGCTTGAGTGGTCTGGGTTTGTGTTGAATTCCAGGTTGGTTTGGAAGGATGTTGATGGTAAGCCAGAGTGGGTTAAGGATCTTGATGCATTGGGTGGGGTTGATGAAGAGATAGAAAGCCCATTGTCCTTGCTCAAGAGCAGCTCTGTGGTGGAGCCGCTTGGGAATTGTGGACGGCAAGTTTTGCTTTGGTGGCTGCGGGTTGAAGCTCGTACAGACAGCAAATTTCCTTCTCGGTGAGTCCTCTCCTTGATTTTTGAAGTTTTCATTTGTGAATTTTGATGGTCTTAAGTTTCATTTTCCAAGTGATGTCTAATTTCTTTTGTCAGTCACATTTTAACTGACACTATTTTTCCAGAAAAATAGATTCTGCAATCCCCCTCTCCCCCCCAAAATCACCACCAAAGCTAGAAGAAAAACTACTGATTGATTATTGGGATATTTAACAAATTTGATACGATGGCAAACCCAAAAATACTTACCAATTACCATTTCCGTGGTTAGTGTGAACCTATATTGTTGTTGTCCACAGAATTATCCTGTTATCTTCATTTTGCATTTATATTTGGGCATCTTACCATGTAGACTTATTTTCTAGGATGATTTGTAGTTTTTCAGCTTAATTAAATTCTATTGAATCACCAGCTAAGATGATCCAGGTCAGACTGAGCTAAGCAGAATGTAGTTTAAAAAGCAAACTGCTGCCAAACTGGTGCAGAATTTTTATAGACGTTGTATATTATATAATATTCTATTTGTTAACATCTTGGGACACTCTCATCCTGGATTGAAGATATTCCCACTTGGCATAGACTTCCGAAACTGAAAGGCTCAATGTCATTTGGGCGCAAAGTTTGCTTCCCTTTTCCTTTGTTATTGTCTAATATAAGGGGATCATCTATTGAATAGTAACTACATTATTCTCTGCAGGTGGTTGTCCTCAAGGGGTTACTAAATTTAAGTGTTGAAACGGTGTAGCATGGTTGAGGGAGGGATTCCATTAGAGGCACCTTGGTTGTTTAATTATCTAGACTATATTTGGTGTAGAATTGCAGGTTGTCTAAGTCATTAGTATCTGTCTTAACTGAAAGAATCAAAATCATCCCAAGGAGGTTGGAGTATGAGGAAGCCATAATCTCTAGTTGTCTGTTTAGTTAATATATATAATTGGTTATAATGATGGAGGAGTTGATGCTAGGGACTTCACTAGCACCCTAGCACGGGATTCATTGAATTCCTGGTGTTACATATGGGATCAATGGTAATAACTTAAACATAATTTAATGCTTAGGTGGCCTGTTCAATGACTTCGCTACAGCAGGTGCCTTTATCTCTCTTAACTCTGAAGTGGTGTTTTTGTTTTCGCTTTAAATGTCAAAATTCAAATAACACCAAACTATACATGCTGGTGTATCAGATTGAAGTTATTGGTTAACGTCTAATATTGCATACACTTCAGCCCGATCACTCGTCAATGACACATAAGACTTTGTTGTGCATGTTTGGAGTGGGATCTTTGCATTCTTTTTGATAGAATATTTTGTTATATTTAAGAAGTTTCCAAAGGTTGAGTTGGAAAAAGGGACGTCGAGACCTTACTTGTGTTATTTAAGGCTGCCACATTTTTCCTTGGCCTCTTTTCTTAATCTAGTCAACTTTTGCTGATTGCAAAATATTTCTGGCTTCTGAAATTTTTCTTCCCCTGATAAACCAAAGCTATTTGTCAAATATGTTGTATTTGTGGTTTTATTTCCAAAGGGTCTTTTTTAGCTTTGAGAACATGAGCACTTAAAAAAAAGTCGTGTGCATTTTTCTTCAAATCTTGACCATTCAAATATGATATTATTAGTTTATATTTGTAGCTTTTATTTCTTACTATAAAAATAGTTCTGATAAGCTCTCTATTAGAGGAATATTATGAGAAATGATAACTATTAGTCTAGGTCATGCAACCAGTTTCCACATTTTTTTTACAAAATTGTTACATTCTGATTTTAACTGTTACAGAAAATAAGAGGGAAATAAAGTTAATTTTGTAATTTTATAAGCAAAAAAAAAAAAAGAACACAATGTATTCCCGAATCAATCTAGTCCTAAAATTTCCTCAGGATGTATGGAATTTATTTATGGTCTCATATGAGGCAGATTTTTGTGCTTGTAATTTGAGATGTGGCATCCAACAGATATAGTAATCTATATTGGGACATTGTTGTCCAAAATCCCTGACAGTATGATTCTATCTTATGCAGATGGATAATTGACCCTCCTTTGGACATCACTATCCCATCAAAACGCACCCCATGGCCAGACGCTCCACCTGAGCTCCCATCTAATGAGAAAGTGTTGATTGGCACACAAGAGCAGACTAACAAGCCCTCTACAAGGACCAAAACACCCAGATCCCGTCGCAGTAGAAGTAAGAGAAAGCATGACACTAAAGTGATAGGTGTGCAAGTCTCTACAAAGTCCGAACAAAACTGAGGTCTTAACCAATAAGTACCTCTCAGAAATTCACTGCCCTGTGGATACTAACTGCTGGCCTTCAGCAACAAGAGTTTGGATTCATCAAATGGAGAAATTCGACGTATTAGTTACTGCTACATACGTCGGTGGCATAACTTTTATGGAGTCCGGCCAGAATATGTGCATCCGAGTCTGATTTCACCCATTTTTTATATTGATTTTTTGCTGCCTTCTTTTTATCTGAGTCCGTTCGAATGAAAGATTGAAATGTAATGTTGATTTGGTTTTGCAGCACTTGCTGCATTGCAGGAAGCCTGTATTCAATTTTATTCCATGTTAATACATATTCTTCTCAATAGGATTATACAATTGTCATTTATTCTCACGGTCAGATTTCGTTACTTACAGAATCACAATGTCCTGATTCCTGAACTTAGTGATCTAACCAAACATCCACTCAGCCCTTAGAGGCAAAGGAGGGAAAATTTAAGATAATAATAAGATATCCACAATTGATTTAAAACTTTAACTTTTAAAAGAAAAGAATAAAAATAGCATCATTTTTGGGATCAAAATACAATATACTAAGAGATCAAGTCACAGTATATTGTGATATACTATTTAAAGTTACATTGAAGTAATTAATTTTAGTATATATAACTTGGATTCAACAAAAACAATAAAAAATTTAGCGTAAAAAAGAGATGTTTGAAATAATGAATAAACTATTTCTGTAGAGAGAAATTTAAAGTTAGGCTTAAATATATTTTAATCTTTCAAATTTAAGATAAATTTGTTTTTAGATTTTTAAATTAAAATTATTTTTTTAATTTTTAAATTTTTTAAAATTTTATTTTAGTCCTTCAAATTATTGATAATATATCTAAAAGTGACAAATAAAGATAATTATGTAATATTAACTTGATTTAATGTGATATTTTTACTAACATGAATATTAATAACTAAATTTTATGTGACAAAGTAAATTTTGTATGATAATATTTAAATAATTTTTTAACAAAATTTGAGTATAAGGATAAAAATAAGATTTTTGAAAACTACAAAATTAAAAAGACTAGTTTTAAATTTAAGAGATTAAAAATAAAACTATTTTAAATTTAAAAAATAAAAAATATATTTAAACCTTAAAGTTATAACATAAAAAGAGAAAGATAAACGGGTAGACACACAAGAATTAGGTAATGACTAATGAGAGTTGCTTTCGAAACAAAGATGAGGTTATTTAAGATTAGAAAATCTTTGAGATTATTTTCTTAAAACAAAATATAAAATAATGTACGGTTAATTGGTATTAATAAATGAAACCAATCGGTTCAAGACAAAATTCTTTCATCAGTTTCATTGACTATCCGAGAAAAAACTAGGTAACCACAATTGCTTTCCGAGCTAAGTAGGATGAAGTAATTTAAGATTAAAATATCTTTTAAGATTATTTTATTTCGTAAACAAAATATAAAATAATTTTATAATTAATATATTAGACGATAGTGAAAATAAGTTAATCTTGGACTATTTTATTTTATGACTAAAATTAACTTTTCTTATTTGTCATGTTTTCAGTTAATATACATGCACGTAAACATCCACACATTGTAAAATAAAAAAAGTAAAATTGTGACTCTTAAGTATGATTAAAATGTCCTTAAAAGTATTAATTAAAATACAATTCTTAAATAAAGCATGAATACTAACTATCAATATATTGATTTAAACAAATAATTATTCTTATATAATGATTTTTGATATATAAAATAAAGTTATGAAAAATAAAAGTTCACCTACTTAACAGTTGAGATGAATCGCCATCCTAAATTAATTTTTATTATGAGATTACATATCATATTCAAATGAAAAATATATTTTGGCAAATTCAAATTGTATTTTTTTTTGGTAGAAAATTGTATCTTTGGAATGAATGAAAGGTTAACCGCATAAAACGATTCTATTAATTATTAATATAGTTATTTTTTGTCAAATAAATTAACTCAGATGATAGAGGCTTATTTTAAAAATAAGATATATATATATATATATATATATATATA